TACATTATAAGATAGCTTTAAGTATATTTGGTGTTTATTTCTAGACTGTACATCTATCACTGACCATATTTCAAGATCACTGTCGTTAAACAATTTCACCAGCAATAACATCGGTAGCAGGATAGCTAAGAGTCTGAGCTTTTAGTTGCCCGCAAAACAGCAGTATACAGTCTTAGAAGATGAGTGTTCTGTGTCTCAATTAAATGTAGCTGGCTGTGGATAAATGTTATGAATCTTTTTGACAACTGGAACTTTTAGTTTATCAGACGCTAAATCTGCTTGTATGTCTTCCTGTTAAACTAGACGCAGATGCATGGTAATACTTAAATGGGAGCAAAATAATAAAAGCATTGCAATACGGTACTAAGCCCATGTTATGCTTTGCGCAAGTAATAGTAGCTGACCTGATCTAATATGCATGAACTCAAGGTAAATCACAACTGCATAAATTATTTGCTAAAAAGCGTGTAATTTGGTTATTTATCTATTCCACATTTCTGACTAAATTCATTACTATTTTTTCATTTAGAATGCAACAGGAGTGAGCCTTCACAGATCCTAAGAACTGTTTCGCCCCTAGAATTACGGCCCTATGAAACTTTACGGGAGACCCAACTAACAGCAGATTATAAAAAGGATGCTGAACGTCCATTTTAGTCTCACAACTACTTCCAGTACTTTTCGAGTTGCTCCTTTTAACCTTTCGTTTGGAAAAAACAACAAAGACTGCAGCTTAACATTACCAATGCAACTTTTAAACAAGAACCTGGTTTAAACCTTCGTTTGCTATTCGATTCTTAATAAAAGTTCTTGAATAAATTTTTAAGTCTAATGCTACTTTGTTTTATCTACTTAATCGTTGCAAGAAAATTGTGAAACACGAGCCTCGCAGCACCTAGTCCATATGTAGTAAATTTAAGTGGTTTAGCACATATCTTCGTCATTTTCTTGGGAAACTCACAGAATTGAGTCCTCTCATAACTTATTCTAACCACCATGAGTTGTCACGGCAGCTGATGGACACGCGTTATACATCCTAACCGTACCTGCGTCTAATCTCATAGCTCCTTATTCAAATGCCTAATGATAGGCAAGCAATTCCCCTACCCGCACTAATGGAACACTAGTAATTCAATGGCACCCTGTATGGTGCCTTACAGTGGTCTACGCACTCGCTTAGCTCTTTAGTGAGAATATTACTACAGTTCTGCTAAAATTCCCATGAACCCCTTATCTTCATCAAAACAAATAAGTATGTATTTGCTGCGTATAGCAATTTTATTTTTCTGGAGTAAGATATAACAGAATTAGAGTAAAATGGTAGTATACAGCAGGTGCACGTGATACATGTCTTCATCGATTAACTGAAATAGAGAAGACTGGTATTAGCTTAACAGGCTTATTTAGAAAGACTATTGTCTACTTTGAACTTACTGAGTGAGAAAGTTATACTGGGACTACGAATAATGAAGGAATCTAGTCTCCCAGGGCATACGAAGCACTCAAACTGGAAGACATAGTCTTTTATTCTTGTTCTGTGTTCGTAAACACGCCTATTAGACTGTTTGCGCATTTCACGTCTCCTTTATTTCTATTCCCTTATTTTCTGCATTTTCTTCTTTAGACTCAATTCAATATTCTTCTCAATTGCACAGACCCGATTTATTATTATTAATATTCTACTATTATTGCTGAAAAATTTTTTTTAATGGCCAGTAGAATGCTGACATCATTGAACATTGTGTATTATTGCATTTTTTTGAAGAAACCCGAAATGGTTTCTTCACAACACTTATGTACCCATAAGATGTTTGTGAATAATAATAATAATAATAATAATTCGAATATGAAGGTGGGAATTCGCAGGTACTTTTCATCGTAAGGGTGAACATATTAGGTAACGGTTGACACCATACCGTTAAAAAACACGAATTTGCGAGTGGTGAAATATGATCTATAAAAAAGTGAGCTTAATAACAGTGAATTACCTTTGATGATGTCACAGGTATTCAGTGTTTCACAACGCTTCTACCAGTAACACCCTCTAATATATTTCGTTCCCGCCCAGAGAAATCAAAAGACAGAGTCGAGGAGATCGGAAGAGTGTATTTGGCGATTACCAATATATCGGAATTCTCTGATCTAATCTGGCTAGCGATTGCGGTTGATGTTGAGCACGGCGTTACCACACGTGATCTGGTGCGGATGCCTGACCGAGCGCCTTCAGCTAGATGAGTCCACTAAAACATATGGTCAGCATCAAATGCCGAAAACTTAGTGCTATTTATTTTGGGGATTTATTTACCGCTACAGATCACTCCCCCCTAGTGGGTTACTGATGACCCTAAGACGTGGCCAGCCAAAAGTTTAAACCCAGCGAGTTTGTCGTTGGCAAACACTCTTCTGATAGCTTGCTAGGATTAGCAGCGTCTGGTCGTCTTTCCCTACTATATGGGACTGAGGTACAACATAGTAAAAAAAGAAAATGTACAATGAAAATTTCAGTTCCTCATAAACGTCATCGTTGTTTTCCAGCCGGCCTGGAAAAGAAAAAAGAAAATGTAAGCGCATGTCGAAATACACTCGTATGTGCGTAAAAACACAATGTCGGCGAAAAAAATGGAATCTAAACTAATTTACACGTAATATCGTTAAAAAAAATTTGTTTTTTCGTTTTTGTTTTTTTTTGGAATAAAAAAATAAAAAATATATAAGCATAGTAAAATATTTTTTTATAAATATATATATGTCGTAAAAGAAAGATCGAGATAATATTAAATGTCTAGTAGTGCCTTACGTGCAATAGTCATTTAAATGCTCTGGAAATCTAACTCTTCTCCGAGAACGCGTAATTTTAGGTTTGTTTTCAGATACATTCGGAGTATCATCGCTAGTGTTGGTTGTCGGTTGGGGAATTATGAGTGTAGGAGTCGTGTTAATCAATTGTGCGAAAGGAAAATCGACGTAGATAGGATTTCCTTCTAAATACGCTGCTTTTAAGCGATCGATGCTGATGCTATCGTTGGTTCCGTTTTTATCGATTATATTGTACTTCGGTTTACGTTGAAGAACTTTGAGATGTGGTCCAATGTCCGGACTTGCGATTAGGCAGTCGTCAACATACGCATGTACGAAGTTGAGACCTCGAAAAACGTCGTCTATGAATCTTTGGAATGTTTGAGCAGCGTTCCTTAGACCGAAAGGCATTCGCAAAAATTCATAGAGTCCGAAGGGAGTTATGATAGCCGTTTTCGGTATGTCGTCAGTATCCACTGGGATTTGGTTATACGCTTTAACCAAGTCGATTTTCGAAAAGACAGCTGTACCTCTCAAGGTAGCTGTCAAATCGTGAATGTGAGGCAACGGGTAACGATCGGGAATGGTTTTCGCGTTCAATCGCCGATAGTCGCCAGTTGGACGCCAATCGTTGCTGTCCTTTTTAGGGACCATGTGCAACGGAGATGCATATGGGCTACTTGACGGTCGTATGATTCCTAAATCCATCATGTGATCGAATTCGTTTTTCGCCAACCTCAGCTTTTCAGGAGCTAGTCGTCGTGCTTTAGAGAACACAGGTGGTCCTGTAGTCGTGATGTGATGTGTAACATTGCTGGTTACACACGGTAGTTTCGGTTGAGTTTGTTGTATCCCAGGGTACTTATCGAGTAGTGGTTGATAGAGTGGGTCTATCATATGTTTATCTGTGACTGGGGATACTCTACAACCAGTAAAAGAAGTTACGCAAACAGACAAATTAGTGTTTCCGTCTACTAGCCTCCGTTTGCGAGTGTCGATGATCAGATTGTGGTGTTGTAGAAGGTCCATACCAATGATTGGCATAGAAACATCTGCAACGACGAAAACCCAGTGGATGGGTTTGCGCAAACCCACGTTAAGGTAAACGTACCTTTTGCCATACGTATCGATAGGTTTTCCGTTTGCCGCCTGTAAGTTTAGGGTCGATTCGTGTAGTCGGTCGTTAGGATTTGCTGGGAGAACGCTAACTTCTGCGCCAGTGTCGACGAGGTAGCGAACTCTCGTTGTCACATCTGTGACGTATAACAGACGGCTTTTTATCAAAAACTCGGATATTAAATTATTTAATAACTACACGGAATTGGGTTCGTTTAATTCATTCACTAAAGTCAAAACAATATTCGAATAACTTAAACGAAACATACATAAGTACTCATAAACTATGCGCACACCACTGGAACGTCCGCGCAAATACATCAAACGCTAAAAATTAGAACGATACATACTTGCCCTTGATCGTACATGCATGGTCTATCTAACCAAAACGAAACCAGTTAGGGTTTGACCATCGGTCATCAATTTACATATCAGTAGGTCCTATTATTTTAGGGAAACATGAAATATATTAACTGGCTGATAGCCATTAATAAGATGTCTGAGCCTGTTTTAAAATTCAAAGTAATGAACGCGAAGGTCAGTTACATTACTAGACTACCAAACCAAAATGTATACAGCGAAAATGTGACTTACTAGTTGAAAACAGTTTCTCTACGCCTGCCGATTGTTACAGAATAGAAACTGAGCAGTTGCTCTTCTGTTACAAGTTTCACCATTTACCGACTTTCCGAATCCAATGATCTTGATAACCTTTCCCATACTATTGTTTTCGTTGACTATCAATTCCAAACTACACTTTACTGTAAGGTATGAGAAGCCTCTTTGTCGTTTACTGAATGAACCTATGGTCTCTCAAATGGTCTGACAATGCCGGGTACAAATTGCTCTGCTGTGGTTTTTTCGAACTATTTGTCTTGAGACATTGAAGAATTTCAGCTTTCACCATGAAGCAGCATATCTCTTGTGTATGAAGACCCTTGAACTTGCGAAGTAGAGCTTAAATAGAATGACTAGTTATATAATTAGGTTGAACATTATTAAATAATGTTTGGTGTTGACTGACTTTGTTATAGTTTATGTAGTAGTTACCCGCCATTTCAACGATTTCATCGTTGTAACGTAGTCTTATGTCTTCCTCTGATTCAAGACGTGGAGTGCGTAAACGTACACATGACAGAGCCTTTAGTGGTCATTCAACTGCTGTAAACTCGTTACCTTCATCTTGTAATGGTCAAAAACCCCCTTCGAGTGTACATTTCAAGTCTAAATCTATGTCTACAAGTTTGAAAAGGTTTGTAATATTCATGCGAAATTACATACGTTTAAGAATACAAAAGGAATTAACGGACATCATGTCAGACCCTCCTCCCAATTGCAGGTATGATTTTTTAGTTGTTACTTTATTGTCAGTGCATTTCCGCGAGGAGATAATCTCTATGAATGGGTATCAACTTTATTAGGTCCTCAAGGATCTGTTTACGAAGGTGGAATATTCTTCCTCGACATTCACTTTTCTATGGAGTATCCGTTTAAGCCCCCAAAAGTACTCTTAATTATGCGTTACGGTTAATCGTTTAGGTAATTTTTAAAACTCGTATCTATCACTGCAATATTAACAGTCAAGGTGTGATTTGCCTAGATATTCTCAAGGTAAGTTATGTCCGTACCTCAACTTTTTTTCCGACAGTGGTAATTTGGGATGTAAACGTCGATTATTCTTGTTTGTCCTTATTGATAATTTGATTAACTTAGGTAGCTTTAGTCATAATGCTACACAATTCCACCTCATTTAGAATTTCTTAGATTTTAATGGGTAGCATTCGACCATCCACTTTATATAGTCTGGTTGTCTGTTTAATAGAGGTTGTCTTTTGACGTCCCACCCAAACAAATTCACTGTAGTTGAAAAATCGAAATAATGTATCATAATGAGAAAGATCAGATATCGAGAAAATTGTTCGGAAAGAGAGTACACTGAATATGGGATATATTCTGGAGTTATTCATTGTGATTTTCACTTTGAGGCAAAACTGGCAACGTCTTTTGGAGACTTTCAGCGTAAAGTAGACTTTATCAATCCAATAAATGAAAGTTGTTGATAGGCTAGTGATAACATCCGTTAAATTGCATGCTAAATTAAAACTATCTTGGCAACCTCAGCGAGTTCATATCTTCGTACATAGCTATATATTCAACTGAAAAGTCGTTTTTAGTTTTTCCAGAGTGACCACTGTCATGTAATTATAGGATTTGAATGAACTTATTTTTTTCAGTCTGTAGACTTTGAGTGATGACTGAGTTAGGAGAAAAGCGTTTTCCGTATGCGAAAAAGTTTACGGCTTGTCACATTAATATTTTTAGGAATGTTGAAGGTTGTATAAACGTGGTATGTTGTTTGTGTACGAGTTTATTGATTGTTAGTAAAGGTTATTTTATCCTTACTAATTATCTTCGGAAAAATTGGAAACAATTGTACGGATACTATTAACAATCGTCACAGTAATATAGGTCCATTTACTCCCTATCTTGCTGCATAAATTTCCGCCTCATGGATTGTACAGTTTACAGTCTGCAATTTTCATAACCTCTCCTCTCCCTTTCCTCAGGTTTCCCTATCTTCATTAGTGTGACTAATCTAGATAATACGTTAGTATTAGGTCTTATAATGCTAACGCAGGTGAAACACTAAAACTAACATTCTAAATTTAGCCGGTGTTGGCAATGAAAATAGGCATCCAATTATGTGGAGGTGCTTCTAACTTAGTCAGATACAACGTAGCGCCTTTATGGCCCCAAATGCCCTGATACTGCCGGGAGTGAGGAGAGTCTGCTCTCCCTCTCGAAATGCTCTCACATGGCCACGCGTATATAGCCTCTACCAGGGAAGTCCTACTCACTACCTTCTCGTGGCGGGGATGTTGTTTACGAAAATGAGAGGACGAAAAGCGAATGTTCGGCGCTTTAACCGGATTCCAAACCAATGGTGCACATGGGCTCCAGTATCCTGCGAGAACAAATGGCGTATAAACCAGTCGTTGGTCACCGGCTTCCATGGGACTGCATCTCCTTACGATGCTCCACTGCCTTGTATTTATTATTTATTTATTTGAACACATAAATATTGGTACAAGAGAGCGCCAATATATATGCGCCACACAAAACAATGGGAATTCGAAGAGAAGAAAAAAAAAAACTAAGGAACGCAAAAGAAAAAGAGAGTAATGACGATAAGGTACAATCAGAAGAAATCTTTCAGGTAAAGGAGACACAACCACTTTTTATGAAGAAAGTAAAAGAAGCTTACAGCAGGATCGCCACTGGCTTCTATTCTGAGCCATATCTGATAACGTCTCTAGCCACTGTGTAGCACCATCTCTCGGACCCCAGCCAGGGAGTCGTGAAGGACCAACACAAGCCAGTCCTTTGCAGCTTTCTTTCATGCCACGACACCATGTCATGCACTGACCACCTCTCCGCTTCTTCCAACCAGTCCCAGAGTCGGCAAATAATGCACGACGTGGAATTCTCTGGGACGACATTTTTTTTTTTTTTTTTTTTTTTTTTTTTTTTTTTTTTTTTTTTTTTTTTTTTTTTTTTTTTTTTTTTTTTTTTTTTTTTTTTTTTTTTTTTTTTTTTTTTTTTTTTTTTGGTGTTGCCACTGGATGTCAGCAATCCTTCGGAGACAGCGATGATCGAACACAGAGAGTCGTCTAACGTCCTCAACTCGGAAAGGCCAGGTTTCACAAGCATAGAGCAAAACTGCTCTCACCGACGCGTTGTAGATCCGGCCTTTTACAGCCAGACTAACATCACGAAGGCGCCAAAGGTGGCCCAGATTGGCATAAGCCGCTGCCTTGTGGATCAGACCTTCAGGTCGAAGGCTCGGGGAGTGGCCCCCTGAGATAACCACCTGCTTCAGTTTGGGCACTCGGGCAGTATCACAGCCTTCACACATATCGAATGAGATTTATGGCGTATATGTATTTGGTGCCCCCTTGTACCAATATCTATGTGTTAAAATAAATAACAACGTAGGACCAGGCACATATGCATCGGTCCAAGTTGGCATACATCATTAACACAACAAGATGGACACCGGATTCATAAACTAGTTAATTCAGAGGTGGTAATATATAAAAGAAAGATTGAAATAAGGATATAGTACAGGAAGAAAGAATTAGTTCGTAGAAAGGAAGATATGAAGCGATTTTAATCTCTTAGTTTAAGGAAAGACAGAGAGTGTATACACCGACGCCACTGTGATCGATTCTGAGCCATGTCACCAAGAGTCTCCAGCCGTTGGTTACGATAGTCACACGGACCCCAACCAAGTAGTCTGCATCTCCCAAAATTGCTCAGACTAGAAATTATTGACTTCAAGCACTGATGCCACGTTTTGGTTTGGCCGCCCCTTACTTTCTTCCAACCATCCCCACCACCGATCAGCATTGCACGTCGTGGTAACCGGTGTCCAGACATACGTAACACGTGGCCCAACCATCTCAGTCGATGAAGATTCACAACCTCATCAACTGATTTACCATCATTCCCTAATACCCTGCGTCTAACCTCACTATTACTTACCCGGTGATCCCAGCAGACGTTAGCAATATTTCTAAGGCATCTGTGGTCAAATACTAGTAGCTTACGAGTGTCTTCTACTCCTAATGGCCATGTTTCGCTGCCGTAAATTAAAACAGATTGGACTGCCGCGCAGTATACTCTTCCTTTTATTGGTAGACGGATATCTCGCCTTCGCCATATGTGACGTAAGTTGGCAAAAGCCAAACGAGCTTTTCGAATCCGTGCTGAGATTTCTTCTGATATCAATCCATTAGGGCTGATCAGACTTCCAAGATAAGTGAAGTTGTCGACGCGTTCGACTACTTCACTCCCTATCCTTAGTTCACGTGTTGACGCAGACCAGTCCTGAAGTAACAACTTGCATTTCGAGGGAGAGAAGCGCATTCCAAACATTCTGGCATTGTTGCTTAGTGCTACTAGAAGACTCTGCATTTTGTCAGCGTCTCCACCAAACAGGACTATGTCATCTGCGTATTCTAAGTCGATAAGTGGATCTTCTGGAAGAAGATCAATACCCGAAAATTCAGCAGACGAGAATGTTATTTCCATCAGTAGGTCTATGATGAAGTTAAACAAAAATGGGGAAAGTGGACAGCCTTGACGGACACCACTTGAGGTTGCGAAATGAGATGACAGTTCGCCATAAGCTCTGACTCGACTAGTGGTGTTCGAGTAAAGAGCCTTTACAAGGTTTATGTACTTCTGGGGTACGTCTTTCAATGACAGACACTGCCACAGAATCTCGCGGTCTACAGAGTCAAATGCTGCTTTTAAGTCAAGAAAGACCACCATTGTCGGACGCTCAGAGGTATGCCTATGTTCTAGAACCTGACGAATGGTGAATATGTGGTCGATGCAGCCACGACCAGGTCTGAAGCCAGCTTGATTCTCTCGTGTTTGCAGTTCACGAGTCTTAGTTAAGCGTCTGATAATTATCGAGACTAGTATTTTAGATACTATATTAGTTAAACTAATCCCTCTATGGTTGTCACAGGATGATTTTAACCCTCTATTATATATTAGGACGATAAGTGATTGTGATCAGTCAGATGGGATAACATCTAACCCCAGATCTTAGCTAAAATATTAGTCAACCTAATCGCTAAAATTGGACCACCATCCTCAAAGACCTCTGCAGCCAATCCGTCTGGACCAGCTGCCCTTCCTCGTTTGAGATTAGCTATAGCCTTTTGAACTTCTACTAGAGTTGTTGCTACCTTGCCGCGGTGGTCGGGCTTGCCTATTGTGATGAAGCAACCGAGCTATACTGGCTGGAACAACCGTTCCTCAAGGTCCTATCATGCCAGACAGGTCGGTTGAAGAGCGGTAAGACTAAAAGCAACAAACCCAAGGTCCGAAGGCGAAGTCGTACTGTTGACTGTACAGAGTTGTGAAACCAGTAAGGTGTTTCCTTCAGAAAACCAGCATGACAGCGATGCTGCCTTCCCACAAGGAGGGGTGGGGTTAAAAAAGGTCGACCCTAAAAATGCACACCTCGCCTTATCCCACGGATATCCGTCTCAGGCGGTAAGGTTTCAACAAGTACGGAGCTAACACGAAAACTACTCACATAAAGGTCGTGTGTGACCAACCTCAAGCAGTTGTCCCTTGGGCACTGCGGTCACGCTCTCAGGTCACTAAGACCACCTCTAATCCAATTTCCTTTTCAGGCACCTTCAGAAGAACCCTTCCACGGTGTGGGCAACCGGGAAGTGATAACCGCCCTCATACCTCTAACAGCACTCAAGACCACTGTATTCATAATCAATTTCCCTCTTCAATTCCTATTATTCCTCCTACATCGAATTTCACCTCTAAACTTCCTCTTTCGGCTCCCCCCTCAAGTGTCACCACAGCCAACGATCCTAGTGCTCAAAACACTCACAGGTCTACTGAAACCTCGCTCCAAACTACACATTGGAGCCTTCAACGTACGAACCCTATGTCAAATCGGTCAACAGGCCTCCCTGGCTTCTAACTTACCTTCGAAGATGTTAGAAATCACTAATTCTATTGACTAACTTCATAGAAAAGAAAGTTATCTGTAGAGTAGCTTATAAACAGAGGTTCCATTACCATAACTGGGTTCTGTATGCAGTTCACTAACCTGACTATTCTGTCACTACTTTTTACACATTGAATAGAAAAAGTATTTTACGGAATTTCCGACCGTTAATCTTATCAATTTGTGGGAGGTCATTTGCATGCTAACAACCAAGTACTTGGTCACACTACAAAACTTCCAGCTAACGTTTTAAAAAGGTTCCGACTGATTCCGATGACGTTGTTTCTATCCAGATTTTAATAGATCACTACAAAATTTATAAAAGCAACTAACAAATTATTTAAAGCAGACAGTAGTGCAAATAATCAATTGTTTTTATAATTCGGAAAACTGAGAAATTTAATTCATTTATTAATTATATGCTGAATTAATCTAGCATATAAGAATTGCCGTTATAACTTTGTAGTTCATGCAGTCTAACGAAAAACTGTAATTGAAATGCCTATCAACAGTGGGATCCTGTATTAACATTAGTTCTTTATATTTGTCAGCCAGTGAGCTTAAACATGCTCTTACGATACTTTTCGTAAAATCTGTTAACATCAAGGTAAATTGTCGTGTAGAGTAAATATTTGTTGATATATTTAGTTTTCTTAAATACATTTAACCAGCAATCCCACCATTTATTCCCACCTCTTGTCTTTTCGTACCTTAGAATAATTGGTCTCCTGCTCTTACCATTAGTAAAGTTCTACTGTCCATTTGCTCGTTACTTACTGATTGCAATCCTGCCGACCCGCTTGTTGGATCTATTGCTAGCCAATACATGCATAACAGATCAGAACATGATCGCATTGCACGACTGTGGACACAAAAATATGCAAATTCTGCTACTTATCCCTCTACTGGACATTCACATGGTATGAATGCGGATTCCGAGTCTTCTAGGAGAGGACCACGTATCACGCTATCCCCCACCCCAAGATCATCAGATTCCGGGCATTCAGGCTTCGCGTCGTCAAACAAAGACGAGATTTTAACGGAAGTACCATGTACAGAAAGCAGTAGTGCAAGTGCCTGTACAAGCATTGGTGCTAGAAGTGATGGAGGAGAAAGTGTAGATGAAGTTCTCGAAGACGACACTCCCGCAGCTTCTACAGAAACAACTATTGCCCATTCATTCACTCCGGCTTAATATTTGAGATCCCTTAATCTTGTTTATTTACCTGGTTCTTTCGTTTCTTTATGATTCGTTCTAATTTAATCTATAGCTTGCTTTGTGAATCTTTTCTAAAAGATCATGCACACTTTGTTTACTGTTTCCTAAGCGATTCCAGCGTAGCTACCAACATTCGTTTAGTTTGTTTTCTTATTTACATTCCTTTGTCGGCATTTTTTCTGATTACTTTCTGAAACGGAGAGAATATGGCGATACCCCACTAAATGTATCTCCGACTTTTTCAAAATCTCAGGTGTTAACTTTAGGTCTAACTGAAGTTGCGGATCAGTTTTCACATGTTTTATTTCTAATAGTTTCAAAGTGAAACTACAACCATCGCTGATTGTTTTCATAACTATTCTATGATATAAAAACATGACTTCTTAACGGCTGTACAAAGTTATCACTGTTCAAGCTGATTAATAATCGTATGCTAACATGTATTATATGCTTATGTTTCTGAATCCTTTTGCATGTGAACATATCAGCATTTCTCACTTGATTATTGTTTACTAGGTTATTGATGTTCATTAAATAAAGTACCTTTTAGAGCAAACAATATTAGAGTCTCTACCATAGCTTTCATGATCACTTCAAACGTTATTTGTTTGCTAAGTAGAATAATGAATTACGATTTTTATCATTCAAAAGGTTTTTCATTTCACAAGTCATATTCTAATAGTGGGCTGATACTCTTGTTATCAGTATAATTGATACTTATACATTCCCTGTCATTCAACTTTTGTTCCTTCTATAAGCGCTTGATTTTAAAATGGAAAGTAAAAATAAACTTAGAAAAGTTAGGAAGGTGACTTTTGATATATATTGAAAAAGGAATATGTCTTCTCATAGAAAAGTTTATTAATCTTCCCTAGTCTTCAGGATCGGCATCGTAATTCGTGAAAACGAGTAACAATCGGAAGTGCACACGTACCACTCTAGTAGTGTGTGAAATATATGTGTTGAATAAACGTTCTTGGCTAAGCAAGAATAAACCGACAAGGTGTCCTACATTGTTTTTCTCGGAAAATCCTCAACGAACAATGGCAGTAAACGTAAATTTAAATAAGTGTAAGTAATGGAACTCAATGTATTAATACGACCAACCAGGTATACAGCTCAAATATCCATAGAGTAACGTTTCAGACGCTAAGTGTCTTAACAGTTTATAAGTGATCATAAGGTGACTGCTGCGATTAGGACATTCAATATGTAACTGGTTGGTTATACCGCTCCCACTAACTTATCATTTAGAAGTATGTCTTACTGACCTTTCCTCTTAATGAATACTCATTGCCATGTTCAAGGCTTTTTTTAAAAAACAAATATCCAACATTATTTCCAGAAAATGATAAGAATTTATCTTTTATTAAATATTAGTGGTAAAAAATATGTAGATATACATCTGATTGTTGAAACAAACAAAAAATTAACGTGATAAATTGTGTTCTTATTTACTGAAAAGTAAAAATATATATTATAAATAAATAACAAATCAATTTAGAACAACTCATCGGAGCATACTATGTGTATTTTCGAAAAATACACCAACACGAGGTAGTAATTCATAGAACAATATGTAAGCATTATCATTCTGGAAGAGAATAAAGCAGAAAGAGTAAAATCTAATGAGTGATTTATAGCACATAAATAGTTTACCACAAATTTCATATCATTCATAACGTGGCTTACATGTTCATCGGTCAAAGTTGCTGTATTGCACATCAACAGAGAGAGAGAGAGGAGTACTGAGACGGGAACAAACAAGTTGGACTGTGTGTATCAGTAGTCTTATAAAAAATAGTTATAGGAAATATATTTTAGTACAAACAATTATGATTGTGAATTTAGTAATGGGAGAATACTAAACTCAAGACTAAGGACGATGTAGTGGGTCTGCGACTCATTATGAGCCATAAAACCCAAGGTCTTCAAACATTAGTCAAGAACATCTGGTGATGTCAGTCGGCAAGACTGCACCTTTCGCAGTTCCTGACGTTAAAAAAAACTTACTAGTGTGGTCCAACCACCAAACACCAATGGATGATAGCAGTGTCGCAAACTCACTGAAGTAAAAGTTGTGGACTGATGGATTTTTACTTCAATAGTAAGGAAGTAACTTTTCACGACGAGGTCTGAAGGTCCTGGACCCTGTTTCATGAATGTAGGTAAACTGGTAAGTCTGCTACCAATACGTCCTCCTAGCCAGTTCCTATAACATGAACTACTTCTATATGTTAATAAAGAAGGAACGAATTGAGCGGAGAAATTTCTTTTCAATTAGTTTTTCATCATGGCTCTACACTAATATATATATATGTATATGTTTTACAATAATGATCTAATACTCATCGAGTGGATACGTTACGTAACAATTACATAATGACATTTAAATAAACATTGATTAAGAAAGAGGATTATTAATATTCAAAGTGATCAAGAAGTTGCTACGTTGCGTAATGTAAGAAACAAAGAAGGAACAGAATTTTAACGGATGGTCAATAGGATGGTAGTTACGTAAGAATCAAGAGATGAATGTTGAGAAGTTATTAAGTTCAAAAGCAAAAAAAACAAGTGGAAGAAGTATGAAAAATAGTTCTTTTGAAGGAAATCTTAAACTGATGGCCAGGGCAGGGAAAATGGTTGTACGAATCTCTTTTGAATGCAAAGGTCAGGTTTGTGAACATGGATTGCGATGGCTTCCGCAATGTGCAAGAGGCGCACTCGTAAACCATGTGATAAATTAGATGGGATATTGTAGATAACCTTAAAAGCTTTATTCAATTCGACTTGATGACCTGTGTCAACCAAGTGAGAGGGAATAGAACTTTTAATCACTTTTACCTGTCCTTTGTTTAACCACGACGGATGATGTTCAGTAATGCGATGGCGGACTTGCCGAATTGTACGCCCAATATAACTGGCTCCACAGGAGCAGTTGAAACGATAGATACACATAGATTTGGCGAATTCAGGCAGTTTGTCTTTGTTGGCTGTTCTTATCTTGGGATAGTTGTAGAAGATTGCATTTAATCTGGCAGCATTAAGTGTTTTTTGTACGGCTCTTCTTAGTTTCTGAGTCAAGATTTCTTCAATGGTGTCATTTATATGTTAAGTGATATTGAGAGAGAAGACACAAACTACGAGTTAAAACTTTACTACAAGGTTGGCCCGTATACAGGAAAACAAGGATATTTGTAGGTTTATACATGACTGTGCCACTGGAGGTTTCCGAAACCAAACGCAGTTTAGGTAAATGTTCGACCAACGCTGTGACACGCGATTCTAGATTTTCCAGATGTTTTGCAATACTTCTGTCCAACGCTTATTGGTTAGGACTTTCTCGCGTTCCAGGGTCTTTAAAGACTTTGATGAGGGACACTTTCGTACTCATCAATACCTTCATTCTTTAAATAAATGTAAATTCGCTCTCGGGTTTACTTGTAGCCTGGTTTGCGGCGATGTTCCACTTTTTCCAATGTGATCCTCGCCAACCATATTTTTCTCGGGTGAAATTGCTTGAGAAATTTTTGGTGCAATAAATTTGAAATGACAATTCGGTGACCAAACATAAGACATGAGTCAACAACCATCAAGGAGCCACATCAACGAAAGTATTGAAAAGGTTCTTGAAAATGATAGTTTGACCATTTCTCTTAATGCCTTGTCATTTGCAGTGGCTTCTTTGACAAGTTCTAAGGTGACCAGTAGTCAACCGACTGCATCAGACAACACCTGACGAACTTTTATCTCACTTTCTATTGCTGACACGAGAGTGGCATCTACAGTTTTCATCTGGAATCTTATTAATCTCGATAAGGCACATGCTTGTCCAAAGGCTGTAGTAGACTGGTATTTCATCTTAAAATCGTAGCCCATAAATTTGGTTGCCCATCGTTGTAGTCAGCTAGCTGTGTGGACACGAATCCTTTTTTTAACCCGAATACGGCTAGTAATGGTTTATGACGACGTCCGAATATCATTTTGTGGAACTTATTAACAGCAAAGATAATTTGAAGTGATCCTTTCTCAATATGGCAAAAATTACGTCCTGTTGTTGTTAAGAATCTAGCTAAATGAGATCACTTTTTCAGATCTATCGAGAAATATATAGGGGATAACTGATTCAATACCATACTTCGAAGCATCTGATGCAACCACAATACGTAGGAGAGGATCATAATGTGCGAGTAAGAGGTTGGAGATTAGGAGTTGCCTAATTTTCTCGAAAGCTGCCTGAAAATCTGTAAACCGAATCCATCTTGTATTTTTTTTTTACTAGTAAATGATTTATTGGGGCACATAGGCGGTTGTGATCATAGAGGAAAGTTCTATAATGTCTAACCATTCCCAAAAGATACATGAAACAGTAAGTTTGAATCTCAGTTTTATTTTTCTGTCAATTAGTTATCAGGAAAGAGTTAGTTAACAGTAGTACATCAATCTATATTAGGAAATAAATACAACTAATTATATAAGCAATTATACATATAACTATCTTAATTAAGAGTCGGATCTATTCTAATAAACTGCATTCAAATGACTCCGAAATGAGTCTGTGTTATTATTATTATTATTATTATTATTATTATTATTATTATTATTATTATTATTATTGTTATTCAAATACTAGTTCTATACAGCTAATTAATATGAATTGCCTAATACACAAAAGACTTCTGGATTATTTTGTAATTTGAACTATGCTACTAAGAGTAGAACAAGGCATATTCAAAGAAATACCTTGGCATTAATGAAAACGATTCGTGGAAAATTTTACAAGTTTTAACAATAAAATTGGTTTAATATTTTCATCTTATAATGATGCCTTTCTACAAATCATTTTATATCTCATATGCCATCTTTAGAAAAACTAAAACAGTTGATGTAAACTGAGAAATTTAAGACTATAAATTTATCTTAGTCTCACTAACTACATAGCAAATAAAATGAATGGAACTCGACTGACTAAATCA